TACTTGTGTATGTAAGACGAAAAAGAAAGCAACCCAAGAGCAAGGGGAGAAACGCCAATTTGATGTAATTTTGTTTGATTGGTGTCATTGACTACTTTATCTACTTTTTAAATATCTACCTAAAAACTATGAGTTTTGGTAAGGAGGCAAGGCTGTGGCTGAGTTGATAGAGTACTTGCCAAGCATGCAGGGAAGCCCTGGGCTTCATTCCTAGTACCATGTAAAGTGGCTGCAGTTCCAGCAACGAAGAGATGGATGAGGGAAGATCAGAAGACCAAAATCATTCTTAGCTACATATTGAGCTTGAGGCCAGCCTGGACTACAGGAGACAATGTCCCCCCACCCCAAAGAGATGAGGAGAAGAGCCACCCATCTCTGAGTCTTCGAGGCACACTGAGTAAGAGAGGAAGCAACTGAAAGGAAGAACTCCCAGAATAGAGAGCTGTATTAGTCAAAGAGGGATCTGTGGTCATGGTGTGTTTACCGAAAGCCCCATTATTTACAGAAATTCAAAGACAGCCAGGTCAGGAGACATTGGGGCCCAATGACGTCATCAGGAAGCCCTTCATCTACCTGGATAGTGTTGAATGCTGCTCACCAGAGTAAAATGGGTAGCTCAAAAATGGGCTTCAGTCCCTCCAGCTCTGTTCTAGACTTTGCAAAGAGCTACCACATTCCTGGGACGTGAGGAGTTATTTACAGGAGTGTGTATAGCTTACAGTGTCTACACCACTGAAAAAAATGTCTGTCCCTGTCCCAAGCAACCATTAATTGCCTGAGAGAGGGGCAATGTCTCAGGCTTGCTGAGTTCTTATGACACTCCTGTTTGTGTAGTGCCTTCTCAGTTTTCTAGATCAGATGGGAAATGGAGACCACCTCACCCCAGTGGCCCCTGGTCTCAGCATACTGTCCTGATGGTTATCTTCAAAGTACCTAAATGTGAGAAATGTCTATGGCCATAGCATCCTGAGTGTTCACGAACCTCATCAAAATATGAGTTATTCTGAAACTGTAATTTGCTGAGGTTTTCTCTTATTAATCAACTGCATTGTTATTTCACCATTCATTGACACCTCTGCTAGGGAATACAGCACAGGAAACAAGGCCCCTAAGGACACCATAAAGAAAATATTTAATCTCTTCAATATTATTAGAAAAAGTCTTTAGGGCTAGTGAGATGGCTCTAAAGCATTTGCTGCTGAGCCAGAACCCACATGATGGAAAGAGAGAACTGACTCACCCAAGCTGACTTCTGCCCTCCACACATGCACTGAGGCACACACATGCCGATCACATACACACAAATAAATAACATTTTTAAAGGATCTTTTAAAAGTGACTTTAGGGACCATCAGTCTGTTAAGATGCTACCATTCTCCAAATGCTTTGCAGGTGAGTGCCACCTTTCAACGTTCCAGCAAATTGTCATCTCAAAATTTACACTCAAGAACTGCTCAGTCATGTCACAAAATAAGAAAAAAATGTGATGTTTAAGCAGGTTTATGATTTTTGTATTGAGCTTCATTCATAGCTCTATTGGGGCACATGAGAATTAAAATATGATTTTGGCCATAGAAAGAGAGAATACAGGGTTAAGGATGTAGCTCAATGACAGATTGCTTGTCTACAGGCAAGGTACTGGGTGCCATCCCACTGAACTCAGCCAGGACAGAGAAGGAGGAGGAAGAGAAGTAGGGAAAACCTTGGTGCCACATGCCTTTAATTCCAGCACTCAGGAGCCAGAGGCAGGTGGATCTCTGTGAGTTCAAGGCCAACCTGGTCTGAGTTCCTGGACAGCCAGAGCTGTTACACAGAGAAACTGTATCTTGAAAACAACAAGAGAGAAAGAGAGACGGGGGAGAAAGGGGAAGGGGAAAGAGAAAAGGGAAGGAAAGGATGGAAGAGAGAAAGGGAAGGAAGAGGAAAGAGGAGAATGGAGGGTAGGAGGGAATGAGAAACAAGACAAGAGAAAAGGGAAAGAAAAGAGAAAACCCAACAGCCAAATCCTTCACATAGAAGAATCGTGGGTGGGCAGCACTGGGATCCATGCTGTGTGGTGGAGGGTACAGGCTCTCACAGACTCAGAATGCTGGCTTTTCCTTCTCATGCCTGTTCATTTATGGAGTCGAGATGGGCATCCCAATTCCAGAAAATTCTCACAATTAGTTTCAAGACAGAGAGCAGACAGCAGGAAGGAGGCTTTCTTCTGGCATCTTCACATTATTTATAAAAACAGCCCTTCTGTGAAACCCTTGCTTATGGCCCTTAGGTCACAGGAGCCAGACCTCATCTCAAGGGAGGCTAAGTCATATGGGTCTTTAGAGCTTCCAGGCTATATCGAGAAGAAGGCAGGAAAGGCTTTGAAATGACTAGAGGGCGAGCTGGGCAATAATATCTGACACAAGGCGAGAGAGAAAAATTAAGGCTAAGTTCAGAAATGAACAATTAGCATTTGTTTACTTGATTCATAGCTGCTGGGTGACATGGCTAAAGCCGGAAGGTGGGTCAGCCTGACTCTAGCCTTCTGCATACATATTAGATAGAGCACATCAAGTTTGCCAAGAAGCCAAAAAGAGGCAGGATGGGGATTTCTGCATTAGCCAGATGAAATAAGGTGAAAGGCAGAGTTAGGTTTTCTTGAATAATATAGATACTGCCACTTTTCTTTGTCTTTTTCTTTTTCTTTTCCTTTTTGATTTTGTGTGTGTGTGTGTAGGGAGTGGAGAGAGCCCAGAATGAGTGAAGTCTTGAGTGAATATTTGTTGACAAGAGCCTGCCATGTTAAAGACACTAGGGCCTCAGACCCAAGGAGAAATGCCAAAAATTTTCCCCTGAGGTAAGGTTTAGAAGCATGGCAAAGCCTTCCTCAGAGGACCCAATGCCAGTGTTGATGGTGTTTGCAGAAAACATCTGCCATAGCTCTCCTGCCTTGTCTAAGGCCTGAAGACTGCTACCCTGGAGAGACTGCTCTGAACAATGGAGATTAACTAAACCTGTTTATCTGCATGTCATAACCCCACCTCCTGGGCAAGCTGTATGCAGTGAGTAACACCACCTCTCTGTCCAAATCTATATGATAAACAGCCTGCACTTATTGGGAGCTGTGACTTCTCCAGAAGAGAGTCCAGATTGCCCAATTCCAGCTTTTGTCTGTGTGATTCTGTGTGTCTATATTTTCTTCATTCCCTTGCCACCCCCGCCGGGTCCACCCCTGAAGCCATGCTGGATGTTGCACAGGTGTTTGAGTTGTATCTGTGGCAGGGTGAAACGGGACACAGGTGTGGGAGGACTTAGTGTGTGTGGTGAGAAGACCACCTTAATGCCATTCCTCAGTGGCTTTCCTCCTTTTGTTTAAGACAAAGTTTCTCATTGGCCTGAACTTCAACAAGAAAGCTAGGCTAAGTGGCCCAAAAGCTTTCAGAAAGGTATCTTCCTGCCTCCACATACCCCATAGTGTTAGAATTGTCAAGGAGTTAGAATTGTTGGAAGTGTTAGGGAGTATCGTTTTGACTAGCTTTTTATGTAGGTTCTGAGAAGTTAAACTCATCATCATACATGCAAGGCAAGCACTTCACTGAGCCATCTTTTTAGCCAATACAACCACCTTTCTACACACACACACGCACACACAAAAAAAAACAGGCTTAGCTTTTAATATTTGTTAAGATTCACTTTTATTTTTGTGTGTGTGTGTGTGTGTGTGTGTGTGTGTGTGTGTGTGTGTAATTGTCTGGCACACCTGTACAGGTACCCCAGAGTCACAAGAAGGCACTAGATCCCCTTAACCCATGAAGCTGAGTTACAGGTGACTGAGAGCTGAACAACATAAGCACTAGGAACCGAACTCAGGTCATCTGGAAGAGCAGGAAGCATTTTTTAACTAAAGGAACTACTCGCTAAGATTTCAACAGACCATATGAACAGTTATCTGGTTCATAGTTCCAATGTAGGGATACGTACCAAGATGGTTCAGGATATGTTTCCCTACCTTTGTCTGACATGTTGGGAGTCAGGGAATCTGGAGAGAGCTGACATGCTTCAGAAAATTAAAATGCATATGCTATTTAAATTTTACAAAGTATAAAGTCTACTGTCAAGATCAGTTAAAAATTCATTAATCATTAGTCTTGTGTGTTACTGAGTGTCCTTGAGAACTTAACATGTGTTGAACTTGATTTAGCTTTAGTTCCTTTTTTACGACATCAGAGATGATTTTTTTTTAATGGCTCTAGGAGCTGGATCGATGGATGGCTCAAGGGTTAAGAACTAGTCCTGCTCTTGCAGAGAACCTGAGTTCAATTCCCAGCACCCACATCAGTGGCTCACAACCACCTGCAACTATACCTCCTGGGATCTCATGCCCTTCTTCTGGCTTCTACAGGAAACTGTACACATGTGTAGTGGCATCTTGTTCTGCCTTAGGGTGTGGCTTCGATGTGATCCCTTAAAAAGAAAAAGAGGGGCCTCATGTTCTCTCTCTTGGGTTGTGGTCTGAGCATCCTTCATGGCAGCATCCTTCAGGGACAGAAGACCACGGCGGCTATTTACCTTAATTGTGTGAATGCTCCCCAAATAAATATCTGTTATTCATTTATTTGGGCACCCGTGGACTTCTTTTACCAGGCCTTCATACATGTACACAAACATGCACACTCACACAGAGAAAATTAAATAAATACATCTCTTTTAAAATAAAAAGCTTCTAAACTAGCGTGTTTTATATTTTTATTTTTCTGTTCTTGGGAGGCTAGAGTCTAGATTCTTTGTGGATAGTTATTAAAGGCCCATCTTTCGACAGAACAGAAAAAAACAATGCCCTAAATGGTATTAAGAAAGCAACCACTCTGGGCTGAAATCCAGGGCCAAATTACTTGATTCTCTTATGAAACAAAGAGATGAGGTGTTGGTATCTCCTGAGCAGATCCATCCAGATCATGTACAGTGGGAGGCATCTACCTTCACACCCTCTATGAAGAGATGCTTTTATAAACAACAGTTAAGTGCTCACTTTAGCAGAACATATACTAAAAACTAGGACAATACAGAGGAGATGAGTATGGCCCCTGTGCAAGAATGACAAGCAAATTCACAAAGCATTCCAAATTCTTCATGCAAAAACTGCAAGAGTCTACAGTATCACTCAGCCTGCTATGGGTATCATTGTAAACAAGGAAGTTTACAAATTATGAAAGTTTGGCCTTAGCTTAGGCTTGTTCCCAACTAGCTCTTATAACTTAAATTAACCTGTTTCTATTAATCCTTGTTCTGCCATGTGACTTTTTTACCTCTCCTTCATTCTGTATGTCCGACTCCCTCTGTGTCTGACTGGTGAATAATCCTGAGCACCTCAGATTCTTCCCAAGTTCCTTTCCCCAGAAATCCTTCTTCTCCTCTCCTGCCTGGCTATTGGCCATTCAGCTTTTTATTAAGCCAGCCAAAAGGCACCTTAGGGAGAGACACATCTTCACAATATACAGAAGGATCATCCCACAACAAGGAAGTTAAGGGTAAGATTCCTACCAAGAGAATTAATGTACATATTGTGCAAATCAAATACTCTAAAAGCCAAGATAGTGTCCTGAAATGGGTGAAAGAAAATGATCAGACAAAGGAAGCCAAAGAGATAGGCAACTGGGTTCAAGTGAATCGCCACCCAGAGAATCACATTTTGTCAGAACTAACAAGAAGGAGCCTGAGATAGTGGAACCCATTCCCTGTGAGTTCATGGCTTAGTGTATAAAAAGAAATAAAGACACTAAATCATCCTTCTAAAATTAAAAATTAAAAAAAATGAACATTGAGGCCTGGGGATGCAGCTCAGTGGTAGACTACTTACCTAACATGCACAAGGCCCTGAGTTCAATCCCTGCTACTCCAATAAATAAATAAAAGTACAATTAAATTGATAAAATCAAAAAGAGCAATTGATGACTTTGAAATCACATGACACTTCTGATAGACTGTGGTCTTTGATGAGTTTACTAGGAACCCTGTCACTATTTCCGAACACAGAAACAGTACACTTATGGTTTCAAACAGGCATCTAATTTTAGAATAAATGAAATTCATAAATAGTCTTCATCTATGACCCCTGTAGAGTAGTTCTTGGAAATTCTTATGTCATGCCTATACTCACAGGTACCCCATGACTATAACAAGCCTTTGATAGCTAGCAGGGAGTTGCCCAAGCTCTGTCCCTGGAGTCCTACTTCTCTGCTCTTCCAGTATCAGAATGTCTTCCCCTGCAGCAGACAAGGCAGTAAGTCCCTTCTTAAGATAGACCTAAGTTTCATCCCCCCCTGCCACAGACATCGTAGAGGAAAACCTATAAGTATGGCGTGCACAAACTAACACCTCTCAGATCCCCGGCCATGGAGGGACTTGCTTTCCAGATAAGAACTGTAGCCAACAGATGGCTGCCAGCTGTCAGCATTTTCATGGTCATCCTTGAATAGAAAGAACCACTTTGCCAAGACCAGGCCTTCTCAGCACGGTCTGCATTTACTGGCTAAGCAAGGTAGTAGGCTGTAAGCTGAGACAGCTTGGTTTGGCATGGGAAATACAGGTGTGCAATACTCTCCAGTGATTTCCAGAGGGCAAGCCAAGTTTTTGTTTTGTTTTTTTTTTTTTTTTTGTTGGACCTGCATAGCAATTCACCTTTTCTTCTACCCAATCCAGTTACTCACCTCTTCTAGTTGGTTTCTGTTTGTCTATAAGATACTTAGCCTCATAGAACTGTTTCTGATATGCAGAAAAGTTGGGAAGATTTATCAGTTCAGTCTCCCCCATTACTAACACTTTACATTAGGATGGTTGTTTTTGTGATGTTATGTTTGTTTGCTTGCGTTAAGACTGGGTCTCTAGCCCAGACTGACCTCTAGTTCCCTATGTAGCTAAGGATAGCCTTGAATTTCTGATACTTCTGCCTTCACCTTCCCAGAGCTGGGATTACAGGAGTGAATCACCATGTGTGCTTTATACTGTGCTTGAAGATCAGAGACAGAGCTTCATGTATACTAACCAAGCCCTCTACCAACTCAGCCGCATCTCCAGCCTTACTGGTACAAGTAATGAACCAGTACCAACACACTGCTATCAACTAGTCTAGTTTTGATTAGATTTCCTTAGAATTCAGCTACTTCTTTTTCCTATTTAGAGATTGAGCCATGGTCATCACATTGCTTTTAGTCATCATGTTTCTTCAGGCAATGGTCTTTCCACAGGATTTGATGTTATGTGGCATCCGACATCTAAAGATCCATCTTATAATCTACTTCTAGGGGCAGATATGGTGGTGTTTGCCTGATATCCTAACATTTGAGAGGTCAGAACAAAAAGACATGATGTTCAGAGTCACCTCTATCTACATAGGAAGTTAGAGACCAGCCTGGGTTACATAAAACCCTATGTTTAAATTTTTATTTAATTTTAAAAGAGGAGCTACAAAGATGACTCCATGGTTAAGGGAACTTGCTGCTTTTTCAGGGGAACAGAGTTTGATGCCCAGTACCCACACAGGGTGGCTCACAACCACCTTTAGCTCCAACTCTGGGAATCTAACACCCTCCACTGGCCTCCAAAGGCACTCACTCACACATACACACACACACACACACACACACACACACACACACACACACACACACACACACACACACACACGACATACACACATAGTCACACATATAAATTAGTAGAATCTTTGAAAACTTACAAAAAGGAAAATAAAAACCTGTTTCTAGATCTAACCTGTGTGTGACCATTGGCTGCCTGCACAATAGCCCAGCTACTTTCTTCTTGCTAACAGCACCCCAGTATCATTAATTGCAATGTGTCTATGGAAAGAAACTTGTTTTTTGTTGAATGGTATCTGATCCAGACCTAACCAAGACATAAGGGGATGTCTTCTTCTAGGGGCTTTCCCTCAAAAGAACACTTTCCTCTTGGTTGATAAGTAAATAAATAAAAGTTATCAAATGAGGCTCTACACATCACTGGGTATTGCTAACAGTTAATGGTTTCTGAGGGAGGAAGAGATCTTTTCTTCAATGGTGTAGATACAGGTACCTGTGCTCCTGGAAACAAAGCTGCACTCATGCTACTTGTCTTAGGGTTTCTATTGCTGTGAGGAGACATTCTTGACAACGGCAACCTTTATTTATAAAGGAAAACATTTAACTGGGGCTAGCTTTCAGTCCATAGGTTTAGTTCATTGGCATCATGGCAGGAAACATGACAGCATGCAGAAAGACATGGTGCTGGAGAAGGATCTGGGAGTTCTACATCTGAATCTGCAGGCAGCAGGACAAGAGAATGGGCCACTGGGCCTGGTTTGAGCTTCTGAAACCTCAAAGCCCACTCCATGTGACACATTTCCTCCTACAAGGCCACGCCTCCAATAATGTCACTCCCTGTGAGTCTATGAGGGCCATTTTCATTCAAATTACCACACTCCTGGGTAAGCAATCCTAAGAAACCCAGTGTTTCACACATACACACACACACACACACACACACACACACACACACACACACACCAATGACTATGAAAGTAGGAGAACTTGTTGAGAGGAAAAAGGGAATCAGCAGGAGTGAGAGAGGGTTAGGATAAATCTGATTGAAATACGTTATACACTTGCATGAAAATGTCATAATGAATTGTGTTATTCTGTATAATTATTACTAGTATATGAATATGCTAGTAAAGATATCTTAAAGTTATAAGAAGGATCCAAGAAGAGAATTTTTTGCTCTGAGTTTGGGTCCTGTTCTCCCCCATCTGCCTTAAGCCCTGCTGAGTGATGACTGTAACATAATGGCTCTGGCAATATGGCAGACTGTAAGAGGACGGCTTCAGATCCTCCTGCCGTCACTGAGCTACAGAACCAACACTGTAGCTGGAATTCCTGTTAAACTGGTAAAGAATAGAAAGTCCTTATGATGCCACCATTTCTACTTACTAGGGATAGTGTAGAGAAAGTGTTTACAATAAGGAGCACAGTGGCTAAAAGGAAGATAGAACTCATCAAATGTGTGTATGTGTGTTTATGTATGTGATGTGTGCATGTGTACACAAGTGTGTGCACAGGTGTATTTACCCATGTGTGCCCATTCAAAGGCCTTAGAAGGCCATTGAGTGTCTTCTTCTAATGCCCTCCACCTTATCCCCTTGAGATAGGATCTCTCAGCTCAAACTGGAGCTTACTATTTTTCAGCTAGGCTGTCAGCCAGCAAGCCCCAACAATCCTCCTGTTGCTACCTCCCTAGTGTTGGGGTTACAGGCAGGTATAGCTAAACCTGGTTTGGTTTGGTTTTACAAGATGGGGTTTCTCTGTGTAGCCTTAGCAGTCCTGGAATTCACTCTGTAGACCAGGCTGGCCTTGAACGCAGAGATTCACCTGCCTCTGCCTCCTGCGTGCTGGGATTAAAGGTGTGCACCACCACCACCCCAGCATTAAAGCCAGCTTTTTACATGGATAGTAGGAGTCCAAACTCGGGTCTTCATGCTTTCATGTCAAGAATTCTTACTCACTGAGTCATGTCCCCAGCCCAGATGAATTTTTAAGAAAACAGCCCCACAGAGGCTGAACAGGACAAATGGTTCTTGCCAAAGCAGCAATAGCCCTTAGTGGCTGGATCCTTACTTCTCTGCTCTGCTAGGTGTCTTTTCTCTGCCTCATAGTTCCCACTCCCCATAAAGATGACTTACTTATTGCTTCCTACACCTCTCTTAATCTGACGACCTTTTAGCTTCACGTCCCACTAGAAGTTCTCATGTGGCCCCTGTTGAAATCTCTTAGGGGGAGAATATAGTCAACTTGGCTTGTCTTTGTGAGGTCACACCTCAGGACACACACCACCTGGGATATCTTGTCTTAGTTCCATCAGTTATGCTTGGAAGAACAAGGTCTCCTGGTGTAAAGCCTAGTCATGCAGAGCTGCCTCTTCAGCACAGCTGTGTGAGAAACTGAGTGCTCAGGCACTGAGACATTGAGTCCAGGATCTGCAATAACTGGTAGCATCATCTCTATTCTCTCTCTTACCAAATTAATCTGTTTCTAATACTTGAATGTATGCATGTGCAAATTCCTATGTGTGGATGCATGTA